GGCCTGTGAAGGTACATGATTCTTTAAAAGCATTTGAGGTACGGAAAAACGAATTGACAATTGAACAGGGGTGTCTCATGTGGGGTCACCGAGTCATTATTCCGGTTGTACTTAGAGCTGACTTATTGGACGAGTTGCATAGCGCCCACATGGGCATTGTAAAAATGAAGGCGTTAGCTCGTTCATACTTTTGGTGGCCGGGTTTAGATCATGACATCGAAAACGTAGCGAAATCGCGTAAGTGGTGTTTAAAAAACACCGACAAACCACGAAAAGCGATGTTGCATGTGTGGAAATGACCGGAAGTCCCAAATAAAAGATTGCATGCTGATTTTTGCGGACCGATAGAAGGATATATGTATTTAGTGATAACGGACGTATACTCAAAATGGATTGATGTAAAGGAGATGACTAACATCAATGCGGTAAGCACGATTAAAATGTTGAGGGAATATTTCTGTGTATGGGGTCTACCTGAAATGTTCGTCACGGACAATGGCTCAACATTTGTATCTGAAAATTTTCAAAAATTTCTAAAAGAGAATTGTGTTAAACACCACAGAACTGCTCCCTATCATCCGGCGTCAAACGGAGCGGCTGAAAATGCCGTCCGAACGTTCAAAAGTAAATTTAAGTTATTGCGTAAGAGCGGAATAGGAAGGCAAGAAGCCTTACCTAAATAACTATATATACCTATTTACCTATTTATATAACCTAAATACCTACTTAGATATCGGGCGACACCGCATTGTACAACAGAGCTGCAGATGGGGCGTAAATTAAGAACGCGTTTAAATACAATACAATCGTCCGTGCGAAATCATGTTGAGCTGAACCAAGCAAGACAAAAATTCCACTACAGGGGAAACCGGGAAGTAAGTTTCAATAATGATGATGTTGTAATGACGAGAAGCCATGCAAAAGATACACCGAAATGGCAGTCAGCCACGGTGGTGGAGAAACTCAGCCCAGTTACGTACAATGTGTGTACACCGGATTTAAAAGTACATAAAAGACACGTCAATCAGATGATAGCACCGAGTAAGGAAGCTTCTCTTCAAATTAGTAGCAATAGTAGTGCGAACTTGAGGGGGAAGCGAAGCGGGACGAATGAGGTAACAGCTTTGTCAAATTCAACGGAAACAAAGTTGTTAGGGGATAGGTGGCCCCTAACGGGTCTGGAATCGAGGTACGAACACGAAATGAACCGGACACTGATTTTCACTGTGTTTAAAGCCGTTTATTCAAGAAGGGATGAAGGTCCCTGGACACGTCGTACGTCGGGCCTGGAGTCCGGAATAACCGGGGAATGTAACGTCCCGTCCGTCGTCGGATTAGGAGGCGCCGTCTGTGTTCGTCCTTGACCTTTGTTCGAACTTCCTAACGTCTTCGACGTTCGGTATTTCTGTAATGTTGCAAATGCGAATTAATGAGTATTGCGTCGCACTTCAAGCTCGTGCGGAAAGAGTTGCCGCTTCTGGGCAGAACTCTGCGCAGTGGACTGTATTCTTGTCTCGATCAGTGCAGCGGCTTTTCCAGCAAGTCCCTTGCCGTTAAACGGAGCAGAATCACGCTCAATGTTCGTCTCTCCACACCGCGTAACTGGTGGAAGCTCGTAGCAACGAGCTTCGAGACCTGACCCTATAGGGCGCGATGTAACTTACCGCACCAGGCCGGCCTCGAGGATGACGAACTGCAGCAGTGCGTTTAACGCAACGGGGCTGCCCAAGCCGTCAGCCGTTTCTAA